CGGTGTCGACTACAATGTTGTGAATGTACCAAGTTCACTGTACGACTCTGGAAATTATGTTGCATAATATGGACTCCGGACCAGGTGAGTTCCTCTATGTCTTCCTGGTAATATGACCAACCTGAGAAAAAAGGTAAAACAAGTTATATAATAATCATTATTCTAGGATAATGCGCATCCATTGATTTCTGTTATAACTTGCTATTTGATCCGCTACGGTCTTTGTGAATTCCAGCATCGGCATATAATTTTATAGTTTAAAATACTGATGCATTTTTATGGATACAATCACTTTCAGATGCTTTTTTTCAAACCATTACTATCAAATATTTATCTCTTCTATCCTTACTAGCCAGTTGACGAGATGTCTTCTATCCGCCACTGTAATGGTCCCGCTCAACCAGGCAGTTCTTCTCCCGGGTCCGTCTTTCGATGTCTCCCAAATCGGCATTCCCACCGAACCTCGACAGTATCCCCACAAGCCTTTCCGCCCAGTCTTCATCATCACAAGCCTCATTCGCATCGGCTTCATCAGCTACAGTGTTCACTCAATCCAAACCAGCTGCAACTTAATCCAAACCAATGGTATTCTGTAAATCACCATCCACAATCCCATTCTCAGTCTGCCGTATTCTCGAATCAGTTACAGCCGATATTGAGACAAGTAGTTCCACCTGCTCCTCATATTTCATCACAGTCCAGGTCACATTCCTCACCCTCTCCATCATCCTTACCCTCACCTTCATGCCCCTCTTCACCATCAGCAGTGGCCACCAATCACAATAATTTCCAATGCTCTTTGACACTGGCCTCTTTTCCTTCTTGCGATATCAGCGAACTAACTTGTCACGGACTCCCATCTACGGCGCCTTCTTTGTTAAATGTTGGCAACGTTTCAACTTCTACTTCGGCGTTAGCGTCCGCTTTCATCAACTCTAATGCTTTAAGCTTGGTAGCGGGGAGCTCAAACAATTACAATCCGGCCTGGTCCAGTGGCATCAAACATTGCCAGGCTAATTGGCAGCCAGACATGATAAATAATCAACAACAGCTTCATCACCACTCACACCCAATGCACCATAATCAACAAAAACAGCTTCATCAACACTCTCGACAACAGTCGGCTCCACATCCCCAACTGCAGAATAAAAATCAACAGCTACAGTTACAACAGCTCCCAACTCATCAAAAGCAGCAGCATCCATCCCAACTACCCGGTTTCAACGTTCCCGTTCATCATCGCAGGTGCTTTATGCTCTATTCCAATGTATTTATTCTGTTCCTGCAAAAAATAACAAAATCTACATTATTTGATAGTTAGTTGGCTATTATTGAAACTATCGAGATGTCAACTATCAATACCTTGTAGTATCTTGTGCATATATATATATATATATATATATATATATATATATATATATATATATATATATAT